TCACGGAATATATTGCCATAGCACGCTTACGGATAGGCGTGGTAGCTAGTTCTCGCTGTACAGGGCTGAATTAGGTAGCATTCAAACCTACTTACAATATAGATTTAGGTAGATATTACAATTTTTTCTTTCAAAAAAATCTGTTTTTATGTTATAGAGCGGCAAACAAGCACACGAATTACTTGATAATAGTACACAGTAGATAGTAGTTAGTAGTAGTTTAGTAGTAAGTAGATAGTACAATTGACCCTGCCCATGGATACCTGCAACACCAGCGGAATTACGAGTCGCCGGCCTTTTGTGGATTTTGTTTTGTTGTGGTTTAACAGAGATTTAAGGATTGGGGAGAAATGGGCCTCCGATAAACTCACACGCACAGCGAAAAACAACGCATTACATGCACATATGTATGTTATGTAGTATCTTAAAAGAAGTATTTAACTTAATATCAACATTGCTGTTAATCACTAATTTACAGCATGCCGATAAACACTTGAAAATAATTTAAGTTAGATAGATAGATAGATATAAAAAGAAATGCTATGATTAAAATAGAGAATAAAATATTTTATCAACTACCATTGTAAATAAGAAACGCGCGTACCTATGATAAAAGTTAAGCCATCGTAATCATATTAAATACGAAAATAAACGATCGAAGGGGCTATTTAAACACGCTATTGTTAAAACAACACACGTTTTGAATATTTTGAACATTAAAATGCACAGTTGGCATTAACACCGGGACCGGACTTGAGACCTTTAACCTTCGAAAGACAATTTCAAAATGGCCACCAAGATGAGGTAATGGACCTATGCAAATGTAAATTCAATTCATACATTATAGATAAGATATTTAAACAAGACCTAATTCCATATACATGGCAAATATTTAAAATCAAAATGTCAACATGGAATAGAAATATTTATAGAAAAATAAAACAAAATTAATTCGCCAGACGAGTTTCATCTAAGAGTCTATCGTATCAGTTTTAAAAAATACGCAAAGAAAATTGCTTTGAAAAAAATGTGCAATTACATACGTATTTTAAGACCTTATCTTCTCAATTAAATGGAGGACGTCTATGAGGCTAATAAAAATGTAAAACATATCGTTCGAAGTGCGGCCCTGTGGCTGTAAGTCGGTGCCTATATTATTAAATAGACCATATCTTGCAATCTGTCGGGTCTGAATGGATAATAACGCAAAGTCCGACCGACTCTTCTATTACGAATAGGACCTCACTCCCGCCCCTTGCACTGCCAACAAGGATTGAACCCAGTGCTTAAGTCTAATTGCTTACGTGTTTTTACCCTTTTATAGGGCTGTTAGAGTTCCTGTATTCTGTTAGCTAAGCACACACTTCTAATATATTAACATAAGTTCTATGCAAGCGGGTTATCTTACATAATTTCTCGATTTTATTCATATTTTATCCATTTTAAGCGTATCAAAATGCAACTGAACTGCTACAAAGCAGGGATTTTTATTTCTGTAAGTTATTGGTGTACAATTTTTATTATATTTAATATATGCAACAAAATATAACTTAACTTTTATTTTAAAAAAGGTATTCGTACTATTTTCAAAATTTCAAGATACGTTCTCTTTTTGAAATCTTAAAACGAATTCTTGAACTAAATAAAGTACAAATTATTCTAAGTTTAGCAAAGAAACACAAACTGTCCATATCCTACACAAGGGGCCCGATACATTCATCATCCCATCATTTGAATAGCTCACTAAATTGCCTGACGCACGCAAATCATCGATTTGTATATTTTTTTATTCTGATCTCGATTCTCGATGAGAATAAATTAGTATCGAGAGTTCGAGACATTGTAATCGAATGAATAAAAAGTTCGAATTGTCTCGAAAATTTTCTTTAATATTTATAGGTATTATAACGCTACCAAAGTAAGAAGGTACATACTGTAATTGAATCTTGTTAAAATTAATGGTTATTACGTGTTTTTAAGTAATAGTTCATCTCTTGACATCATTATGTGTCTATTATATGAGACCTTTTCACGGGGACAATGTTAAGTGACTGATCTTCTATTGTTTTATTTTCTAATAAAGTTGATTGGTTGAGTTAAATATTGCTTGATTGTTAGATCTCATGAAAAAGAACAAACTTTTTGAAATATTACCTGTCATTCAGTAGACAACCGTCAGCTTCTTGTCCATTTTTGGTATAAAAAACGCAAGTGAAAAGAAACGTTATTAAGCATAGTGAAAACTTCGATGTTCATGCCTACTTTTTACTAATTAACAGACTTTACATTATAGAAAAAAAAAACTAAAAAAATAAATAAACCACATTACAAATTTCGATAAAACACTAAACGAATACCTGATACTAATATCAAAACCGTGGCCCCGGCCTGGAACAGCGGAAAGAACGGGGTGGTTTTTAATCAGTAAGAGTCTGACACTCCTGTCCCCCAATCTATGGCGGGAAAAGGAATTTGGAATATTTACTCTCTAAAAAAAGTTCATGTACGAGTAAGTCTGGAATAACACATACTTAGACTACATTTTAGAAATTAGTACTACAATAATATTAATATCTCACAACAAACAGAATATCTATTAGAATATATAATTTATTTATAGAACTGTAAATGGATACCAATTGACCTGTTTCTTGAGTAACAGTAGCGTAGAGCGACGTAACAATAATACAATATAATGTTAGAACAAGTCATGAACTTGCTTATGACCATATTCAAATGTTGCAATCAACGAATCAATTATAAAATATTATATAATATATCACTACATAGTATAAAACAAAGTCGCTTTTTCTGTCCCTATATCCCTATGTATGCTTAAGTCTTTAAAACTACAAAACTGTATTTGATGTATTTTGAAATGGATAGAATAGTTTAGACTGAAGAGGAAGGTTTATATGTATTATAACATCTATTAAATAGTAGAGGAATTTAGTATCGAGCAAAGCGGGGGCGGGTCGCTAGTTTATTAAATTTTTACGAGAGCAAAAGTTACTCTGGTCGTTCCTTATGTGTTTGTGTATGCCGTGAACGGCTAAACTGCTTATCTGGTTTTGATGTTGGGAAGGTATATACCTACTTAGAAGTTTTTTAAGAGAAGAAATCCTGTGTTTTAAAATTAGCAAGTACATTGTATTAATGTATATGATGTACGTTTTATTTTCGTATTTTAAAGCAAGATTAAGCTCAATAAAACACGAAATCTAAATCTTTTACTTTAATAGATCAACGATTAATATTATTCATACCAACCCGGATTTATTTTATTTAGAAATCCTCGGTAAAACGTAAACCCCAAATGTCACTTATATGTATAATAAAAGCCTTGTGAGAAAAAATAAAAACAAAAAACGGAGAACGAAAAGAAGATTTTTTTTTCTTTTTTATGCGATAAATTGTAATAGGCAAACGATTAGACGGGTCACCAGATGTATGTAAGCAATCGCAGCACCTCATGGACATCAACACGAAAAGAGTTGGAATATAAAAGCGTTGCTGACTTCTCAGGATTCAGGGGTTTTCGGGATTTAGATATTGGTTAGGGATGAGAGAGGGGTAGGATTGAGCCTCCGGTAGGTGACCTAAGTCACACGGACAAACCAACGCTGTGGTTGTTTGGCGCATTTTCTCTGAAGCCTGTGTAGCCTGTTGAAGTCTAAGGAGTACAGCCACTCAGGTCAGACCGGCCCATTCGTACCTCAGCAGCACTCTCTTAAACTTATATACTTCTCATTTTTTTGGACAAATTTTCTTGTTTACAGTTTCTAAATTATATGAGATTTTATTTACACTAATGTTCCTAATTTTGTATAAAATCATTCCAATTACCTATGCGTTGCTTTATATTACTAATCATAAGTTCATTTCAGAATGCTAGGACCATAATTCCGTACAAACAGTCCTAGCATTTACTACCATTCCACAAATGAACCTGTTCCGATTGTGCTCAAACAAACTGCACTGAATCAAAATGTCAAAATAAAACATTATTATTATCCGCTAACAGAACCTGTGGGGTACGTCAGCGATGCAGTAAATGTCAAGAACGAACGCTATTCGAGATGTCGAGTGCGGAACAACCATGGTACCCATAAATATTCCACCGACATTACAGTTGCTAGAACTCATTCGATTAACGGTAAAATCGATAAAACAATTCACTCGATATCAACTCGCATAACTGTAACATTGTTAAGTACTATTGGAGACATTAATTCAATTGACGTTAACAATTACCTAAGATTTAATTCGAACAATCGAGATGTGAGAGAAAAGCTGTACGATAGTAATTACGTGTAATAAAAACCAATGTTTTCTGTAAGATTAAAATCATTGAATATACAAATAACTCGTATTATCTCAAGATTCCTAAGCTGCCACAGTGAAGTGAAATAAAATCCACATTTTCATTTACTTTGTTACATAATCGTGAGCAATTTAAAGTAACAAAGTATCGAGAACTACGATATTTCTCGTATCTAATCGAGTGTGAATACGGTTTGTTGTCCGATTAACAATCGTTACAACTCTAACCACACTTCTTGTTTAATGGAAATAAATACATACTTCGTAATTAACATCGACTTTTCATTGTAAGTGTCTATCACTGTTTTGATCTATCTAAAAAAAGGTGCCCCTTTTATTTGAAAAGTTCAAGGCCATACCATGCAGCTTAGAAATCTGATTCATTGGCGATAGGAAACAAAACAACCGGGTAGAACAAAGAGCAAACGAACAGTACGACCAGAACAAAACTATATTATTATCTGAGGATAATATCATAAATCTTATGAGGCAACATTTTGATGAGATTTACTTTTAATTTCATCGATATAATTAATGGATGGCCAACAAATAGATACTAATTTACATGAACAATGCGTTGAGGTTACAAGAAAATAAGCTGCATGTACTGGCCGAATGAATAAGTCGTATAAAGAATAAGGCCGTCCTCCCAAGTCCATTAATACAAAAAGTTCATTCTAAATCTGCTTAGCGTGCAAGTCATCCTTATAAATATGAATGCTGAGCACATCGGCGGCTACACGCAATACGGGCAGCAGGGATTCATAATCTTTGACAAAGAACAGGTCCCATAGTTGGAGATAATTTTTCGTAACATCACCTCGTAGAGGCTATATCTAAGATTGGATCTTGGAGGTGATCACATGAATTCTTGGGCACACCGCACAGGGCTTGTAGATGTTATCTAAACATCTTAAATTATTGTCCTGAGACCAGCTACTCGGCTCTCATCTAGCGTTATAATCGCGGAGTTGACTACAAAATCCACCTGAACGTAACGTTGGATGAGGCAATCAATTCATGTTCGATGCTACAAAACTTCAAATAGCAAACATCTTTTCAATTTATCTAGTACATTTGATTAGCATGCACGATAGCAACCGCTTCGTAAACATGTTCAAAGCGCATGCACTAATAGAAATACCGCGGTATGCGCCTAACTTTGAAGTGTTTAAATATAAGATTGAGCTCAGGTAGAGAAGTTGAGCTTCGTTTAAATATCCCAGAATGTAAATCTCGCGTGTTGCCAAAAATAGCTCTCATTACGAGATAAGCAACGGGTGACATCATGCCGCCACGAGCTAAGGCTCTCGTGAACAAAAAAGGCCACATCCAAGAAGTTTCGCAGCATTTTGTAAATGTGAAGCACATATTTTGTGGTTTTATTGCTATTCGCGTTGAAAGCACGGCGGGCACTCCTACTAATGCTCGGCGTAAGGTCAAATTACTAGCCGACGCTGCAAAGCCGAGTGCTTAGATAGGCACTGTTCAAATTGCGTCGAATAAAAAAATAGTTTTAGTGAGATTGCAAGCGTTTCCAATTGACTTTTACGTTGGGAACTCGATCGAATCCCTACTCACTGGCAATATAGTTTAATCTTTTTTCTGATACACAATACACAATTGGTATTGTAATTGAAGAAAAAATCGCATTCGTGATATCGTGATCACTATGGTGCATAGCTTTATCCTAATTAGATTCGATACACATTAATATCAGTCGTAGTAAGCAGGCTAGCGATTATTCTTGAGGTAGTTAAGGCAATATGTATCAAGCATTGATGAATGGTGCGGCGGAGGGTTTATTTGTGGCGGTGACGTCACTGCGGAGTGGAAGATGCAATCTAATACGTATAAGGGTATAAGTGTTTGAGATGAGTCGTTAAAAGTGTGGAGTTATTGGTCGTTTGCTTCGGGCGACAAGCAAAGAGGCCGGTCGCAAATAGGCGATCACTATCGTTCGAACATCACTTTCGATGCCGCAATCACGTCCCTATATACGGACATAATCTAGGTCGAATGTGCAGAGTAAAGGCCGAATTGTAATTCCGACCGAGTCGGTATCCTTATTACGCTGCATTTATCGTTTTAGCTGCATTGTAATAGTGATTTAGCAGTTTTGTAATTCTGTTTGTGCTCTTAATTTTGATTGTATACAAAGAGGCTGCTTGTGTGTTTATTACAAAGAGATTGTTTGTATTCGAATTGATAACATCTTGATCTTAGATGCTATATTTACAATGCTATGCCATGCAATGCCTTTTAAAGCATTATTAAAACTAGTCAATGTTGAAAACTTTTCCTCGCTTATGTTATAGTACTTTAGTTTAATATCTAGTTTATCGTGTTAAATATCACAACTAGAAAAGGTCAAAACCACCACGCACTTTGGAGCTTGCAATAAGCCAGTTTCTTCCATAAATAAATTTTGATAATTTGAGCGGGCACACTGTTGTTGCAACGACCGTGTACAAGTGCAGTTTACTCGGCGATTGCAACACGTATGGGTCACGGAACAAAACAAACGAATTGTAAACAAATCAGCTTTAAAGCGCTGAAGATTAGCAGTTTCAGTTTCAAACCTCAATAATCATATAAAAAATATAATTTACCCAAAACAAAAAAAGATTAGGTACAAGCTCTTTTAAATTTTAAACCAAACTGTAGCAAAATATCGGAGTCTATAATTACCTATTACAACAAAATTATACAATAAAATTTAGTATTAAGTTTTCTTAATAAAAAATATAGTCATTGCCTTGACTGTAAGTCAACAATATTAAGATTCTAAAAAATAATCCTAAAAAAAACAATTGACCTTTTATACTACATATATACTTAAAACAAAGCCACCATAAGAAAATGGTGTAACAAACACAGAACAAAGCGCTTTCCGATGCGCAAACGCAGGCGTGGGCGCGGCGCCCCGGGCGACCTATCTCCGTGAACAAATTATAATTTCAAAATCTCCATCGATTTATGTGAATGCTCATCTGTATAAACCGGTGCTCCATTTCACACTCTGTATCTTACTATTGTTTTTCGAAAGGTGAAATAAAAAAGAATCCATGACAAGCCCTATCCAGGATTAACAATGTCGCTGAGGTGTAATAAAATTGCACGGAATTATGTTAGGAAGATTATTTTGTGTGGGGGTATATTCAGACAATATTTTATATGAATATTTGTGTCCTGTGGCGTTCGAAGATAGCGTACAAGCATTGAAAGCTTGGATGCAAACGACTCTTTTTATTTTTAAGAAACAATAGATATTTCATACCTAGTCTTGTATTTTAATATAGCTTGGTTTAGAAATATGTGCAAAACTGCAAGTATGTAACCATGACGGTTTTAATCGAAATATATACCATTTACAATATTTAATTCTCAACGATATAAGCTAAAATATTTACTGAAGTCACTTCCTTATTAAGGAAATAGGTCTGAACTATGGAGATTCGTAATCGTATCGTCGAGCAACTTCAATGTTGCCTAATACTAAACCACACAGGGTGGCCAGTTACACGAAGCCCGCACAAGTTTATGTAGTGTTGCTAACAGCCATTAAACACCAATTTCGTAGGAAAGAGGTTCAATGTATACTGTCTTAAAATACAAATTACGTTGAATTGGACATTGGTATTCGAAACACGTATCATGTCAAAGATAGCTCTAGTAAATCTAATGTGTTAAATTTTACGCTCTATTCAATATTTTAAAATAGTTTTGGTGTCTGTTTTTTTTTTAATCAAATATTTGTTATTGCATGGGAAGTTACCTAGAATTATTAAGCAGATAAAGGAACAAACGTGTGAGTAAAAAATAGTTAAATTTAAATACTTGATTTCCTTTGCTACAATGAAATAAGAAAATATAAAATACTAGCTTCCTCCCGCGGCTTAGCCCGCGTGGTATGTCGATAAAAAGAAGCTTATGCGATAACCTGGATTATATTACTATTAAACGGTATTATTATAAAACGGTCCAGCCGTTTTTGAATGAAAGAATAACAAACATACATCCGTACATTATGAGAAAGAAACTTTCACATTTATAATATCATTAGGATTAGTAGAACTGAATAACTGAAGTATACTATTTTTGTAATAATGTAATTTTTTTCTTAGTTTAATCTTGAGTAATTTCTCAGTCCCATTTTACCCGACAGCATTTTATAACACAATCGTAATAAAAACTTATTTAAGTTTTACCTTCATAGTAGATTAATGATCTACAACAGTATAAATTTATTTGAAACCATTGGTACAAAGCATTTAGAACTAAGTTTATGTAACGCGTAAATAATGGACGCCGAGCTCACTCTCAGACTTTCTCATTATGCGTACAAAAATCCTTCTGCACTAAGGAGTGAAAAATTAGCTCGCGTTGTTCTGCAATCGTGAATCAATTGTGTGAGAACTGAAATATTGTGTGGTGATAGCTTTAGTGCCTAGACTAAGAAAAATACTTTTCATATTGATTATTTAAACAAAAATACTGGCTAAATTAACTAAAATTCGCGGGTTACTTACTCACGTGCAAATGTTGAGAAAAGCTCTACTAGCGTGCGCGGACGCGGCGACGTCGCCGCGTCCGCGCACGCTGTTCATGAGGAAGAACCCCTCTGTGGTTCGAAACTAGTAGAGCTTTTCTCAACATTTGCACGTGAGTAACCCGCGAATTTTAGTTAATTTAGTATGTCTCACGATAGTTATTATAAAAAAATACTGGCTTTTCTTTCTTTTTAGAAAAACGCTGCCCCACCCTAGGATTTCTTCCTTTGTTGTGGGTGCATTTACAAACTTACAAATCACACCAGTATACGGAACAACAGTTTGTGGATCACTCGAAATGAAACAAAAAAAAATAGTTGGCTAACGCATTGCTGCAGTATTTGCAAGCAGATTTATGAAAGATTCCTTAATCAATTGTCTAATGAAAAGCAAATCTAAGCAAGACGCAATATATTCATGTCAACAGGATAAAAGTCCTTTTTTCAAACACTTAAATTTAATGTGTAATCTGCTCACAGAATGTTAACTATAAACACAATCAGTTGATGAATCAATAAATCTTTCAATAGACTCTCATTACAATTAATAACATGACAATATATCCATACAATCTTCAGTAAAAGCTTCAATAGTTGTGAAGTAACATGTTTACCTTCAAGAAGCTCGCGACCTCGTGGTGCGGAAATCACGTAACTTGTATAGGTACCAATGTAACTACATAATGTACTTAGATATATTGTGTACGAAATGAACGTATCATATGTTCTGTATGATATGATATCCTGGTACAAAGATTACAATTAATAAGTTTACCAGTTTCTTTATTTGAAAAAAAAAAACAATTATTTTAACTTAAAAATCAAATTACTAAAATTATTTATAAATTCATTTATAATTTAAGCGATATAAGTACTTATTAATGTTATTTTTTACATAATTCGAGAAAAGTAACTATCATATTTAATTTTGTATAAATTGAATAATGGCGTTATTTCATTTAAAACTTATAAATAGGTTTCAGAAGAAATGTATAAAACCTATATATTTATTCTAATTATTACTACCTGGGTGGGTCGAAAGTGTCAGACTTTCACTGATTAAATAACACCCCGTTCCTGTTGCTGCTCCAGGTCGGGGCCACGTTATATGTATTATTGCGCTTGATCCACATCCCTGGGTTACCGATATTTTTATCGTTTTTCTTAAATAATTTTAGAAATTGAAATAACTCGGAAAAAACCACAGTGCCAGGTTTCGAGTCTTCATGCTCATAGAGAACGTCAAGAACATCACTGAAAAAACTAAATATCGGAAGAAAAAATTTTAATTATTATTTACACATATCTATCAACCACTTTAGGGTCAAGTGTGATGTTATTATATAACACAGTCAGTGATTAACACATATACCTTGATTAAAGAGGATGTCGATTAAATTGATTTTGGTGTATTATCAAATTGGAATCGGAGAGAGCGAAAATGATTTCGAAATTGAGAGTCGATAAAAACAATCTTAACTTCTAGCAATGTTTGCGAAATAAATAATTGACAAAAACTCAATAGTTTTTGTCAATTATTTATCTCAATCATTCTTCAATTTAAGTTTTGATATTCATGTTTCTAAACTTTTAAAGACTGTTTCTATCGAACGCTATGAGATCAATATTTTTTACTATTCGCTAACAAGAATACTCATTATCATACAGTTTAAAATTGAATCAGAAGTCAATTACTTGGACTTGAAGATATTACGAAGATGTTTACTTTATACCCAGCCGGAGTTACTAGTGCAAACATAATGATATAATGTGACCCGGCTCTGAGCAGTTCTCTAAACTAAAAACCTCCCCGTCTCTTCTCGAAGCGTCTTGCGCTCTCCCTCCGTAGCTCCATTCATGGCACGATAAGAAATGAAATGATTCTCTCCTCCATTCCTCAAAAAAAAGACTTATTTCCTACTCAAATACTTTCGAACCGAACATCCGAGAAAACGACGAAGAACTGCTAATACTAATTAACATCGACAGAAAATCCGTTCCTTTTTTACAAGAAAGACGTAATCAGGCTAATAACTCTACCAACTTACCAACAAATCTCACCGAATCACCCCACAATCTTAAGGCACTTCAGTAGCATCCCCATTCACAATTAAAGGAATATAAAGGATAAGTGAACTGAACTAAAAATAGTACTCGGACGTAATAAGACGAGTGCTGCTTCCCATGACTCCATTAGCGTGTATCAGCCCGGTATCGAACCCCCGGCCAGCGAGTATCGACACCTTAACATGTCCTCAGCATCTTACGGCACGAGATAAGAGCCGTCATCTAAAAGCTAAGAGTCTAAGAGCCACAGTAAATTGCAGCAATCAAGTCTTTGACTTTCGTTATGGAATCTGCATGTGTGTCTAAGCTTGAGAACGGGACACTTATGGTGAATTTAAGGCTATCTTGCCGTGAGTTATGGTGGTTGAGGTGGGTTCTCGGTAAAAATATTGTGGGAAAATACGATGTACATAGGGTAAAGGACGTCTTAACTTATCAGCCTATTAGGTATACGTTATAAATTAGAAACAATAAAGTAACGAACATTGTTTAAAAGCCGCACCCTATGTTTTTTCAATTTCACTGCAGTCCTTAGAAAAAACCTTTGGAACAAATCGTGTCATTAAAAAACTACTATAAGATTAACAACAAATAAATCCCATCCCATCCCATCTCAATTCTTCCTTTCTTGTCTAAGGTGCTCGAGGCCTGTGTCCACAAGCAATTCGCTACGTTCATCCACCGGAACTCCTTAATTAGCCCTGTCCAATCGGGTTTCAGGCCTGGACACAGCACCACAACCGCTCTCCTTAAGGTTACCAGCGATGTGAGGGCAGGGATGGAGGACACTATGGTTACTGTGCTGGTCCTGGTGGATTTCTCGAATGCCTTTAACATGGTCGACCACGATATCCTGCTAGCTATCCTTTCCCGTATTTTGGTTTCTGATGGCGCACTGGAATGGTTCTCATCCTATCTTCGGGGGCGTCAGCAGTTGGTCCAGGCTGACGAGTCATCGTCAAACTGGTGCCAATTAACGGCTGGCGTTCCTCAAGGCGGAATTCTTTCTCCTCTTTTATTCTCTACTTTTATTAACTGTGTTACCTCCGAACTTCGGTGTGCGTACCATCTATATGGTGACGACTTGCAGTTGTATTGTCAAGCGAGGGTCGAGGATTTGCCTGATGCGATCTCGAGATTGAATGCGGACCTAGCTGCCTTGAATGACTGGTCAACAAAGTTTGGCATTGCCGTTAATCCGAGTAAGTGTCAGGCGATAATTTTGGGGAGCTCCCGTACATTCGGAAGGGTCGATAGCAAAGCTGTGCCGCCTATCCTTTTCAACGGTGCGATCATCTCGTTGAGTAGTGATGTGGAGAATCTCGGCCTATACATCGATAATTGTCTAACCTGGCGGGCTCACGTCGCTGTTGTCTGTAAACGGGTAACGGGAACGCTTCGGGCACTATATCGTTTGAAAAATTTCCTTCCGTCCTCCACCAAGGCAATGCTTGTTCGATCCTTGTTGTTCCCTATCATTGATTATGCGGATGTCTGCTATTACGACCTGAATGCAGATCTACTTAACAAACTTGACCGCCTTCTGAATAACTGCATTCGATTCGTCTTCAACCTGCGCAAATACGACCATGTCTCTGCATATCAATTGCAACTAAAGTGGTTGCCCATACGTCAGCGCAGGGAACAACGCGCGCTAACCACTTTATTCTCTCTTCTCTGTTCCCCTACATCTCCTAGTTATTTGGCCCCCTATTTTCAGTATGTAAGCGCCAACCATAGCAAATATCTTCGGTCCACAAATAATCGTCTCCTCCACTGTCCCTCGCACCGGACTGACTTTATACATTATTCTTTTTCTGTCCAATCAATTTTGCTGTGGAATGCGTTGCCCACGGATATCAGGACGGCAACCAGTCGGCTATCTTTCAAACTTAAAGTTCACAATTATTTGCTAGAGAAACTGACAGATTCCACTAATTAGTGTATTGTTGTTTTTGTTCCTGTATATACTCGTAATCTATTCTTCCCATATTTAATTATATTATTTATGTATTATTTATATGTTATATGTGTATTTGTAGGTTATATTTATTGTATTCATATATTATATTTTTGTATTATATGTATATGTCGCCTTATAGCCTATACTTTTTAATCATTTGTGTGCTTGTTTAGAACCTATTGTTAACACTTCTCTGCATCACCCGTGAGGTTGACTGGTAGAGAATGCCTTCGGGCATTAAGTCCGCCTTTGTATGTATTTTTTTATATGTACATAAAGTGTTAAATAAATAAATAAATAAATAAATCAAATAGTGTCACAATTTTACAATCCTTTGCAATTCAAAGAAGGTACTACTTATAGATAGATAATATAGAAATAAAGTGTCTAATGGGTAATTTAGAATAAATATGATTTCCAATTAAATCGATGTCACTTGAAACTGTAAGAGTTTTTCTACTACAGTTCACAAAGTTAGGTACATACATAAATCAAGGAGTGTTGAGCCTTTACACCAGCTAATAATTTTGAAGATAAAACCACCGTTTAATTCATCAAACCTCTAGCGAACGCCGGCATTCGTGCACCTATTGTTCTTCTATTGTGTCTCGAATAATCACGATTTAAAGGCTAAAAGAAAATTCCACATACCTCGTGAGTAGTATCTCCCTTGTGTATCCTTTCTTCTGTCTCCTGCACTCGTTCCGTGATGTTCCTTGTCAGCACTCGCCTGTCGTGGCTCTCCCGCACCTTCCCATCAGGATTGGCTACTACCAGTGACGTCACATGCACCTTAGTCCCGGCTGGGGCAACCACTCCATCAATGAATGGGCTGTCCACTTCTGTGAAAAATATTTGTATTAATAATTGTTCTTTTTTAGATCAATTTAAGTTCTCAACTGACACGTGATCTATGCTCTTTTCTTTGTGAGGGGAAAATCATCAAATGAATTGTTTCCTCAGGCTGGGGCGGAAGGGAGTGTCACTCTTACTGACTAAAAATTCCCCTGTTCCTTCTCCTGCTCTGGGCCGAAGTCGCGGTGCCTCATTGCGTTTAGCCCGCAACCCCGGCTGATGGTCCATGCCCTTGGCAAACAACTTTTATTTACATTAGTATTCTAGTTAATTTCACTATGAACATTTAAAGTCTTTCTTACCGTCAGGTGCCGCCCCAATTGCTCCAACGTCATTTTCCACCGCTTCCTCTTCGAGCTGTTCATCGGGTACGCGATGCTGAAAAGCGGGTACAACAAAAATATTTTTGTAAAAATCTTTATAAAATGTGCTTAATATTAAATTACCTTCACATCCTATATTGTTGAGAAAGAGATTATTATAACTTTCTAATAAAACTATAAATATCTTTTTAACCACAAAATTTATATTTTTCGATATTGTTGTTTTCTATTGTGACTTTAACTTTGGCGTTATTAAAATTCGAAATTATTTTAAAAGTTGGTGCTTACCTCAGTCTGCTGATAGTTGGTGGTGTGCGTGTCTTCATTGACTGAGGTAGATATCTTGGGTCCCGAGTCGCTTAGAATGCGCCCATCTTCTAATATTAACTCCCGTTTTACTCTTGTAGCTATTTGACGAGTAGTAGTCACTTCGCTTTTCTTCCGCGTCACCCATTCCTCTGCAAAAATTATAAAAATGAATGCAATTTTATTATAATATTTATTTTAAATGTTTTTATTTCAAGTTATTGAAAACGCCTACGAACCTTCTTTGGTTGTTGCTATTGTATCACCTGGTTCGGCCTGTAACAAAAAAAGACATTTCATTGTAACAAGAACATTCTCACGATGAACTCTAACTTTATTGAGCGCAGCGCCATCTCTTACCGAATAGCTAAACTTATACAAATCGTAGTTAGTAGGTGGGTCAGCCATGAACTGTAATAGTACACGCGGCCGTCGCTTGATGGCGCCATGTTCACTTAATGTGAAGACTGTGACCATTAAAATTCATAAAATTTACACTATTCGCGAAAAATTGCACTGCACAAATACCAGTCACAGTTCGCTTAGTGTTTATTTACCATATTTCACTTTTTACACAAATTGCACTTACAAATTCGTAACGTTTATAAAACATTACAATTTAATTGCACCTAAAACAAACACTGGACTCTACAAATTATACTAGAAGCTATTATATTTTACGTGTAGATAATAACTAAGCGAATACCGTGTATTCTAGCGCCGTGTTAATAATCGACTGAAGGAAAATCAAGGCTTAGCTGTAACTTAATTAATGAGCCGTGGATTAACATTTTCTTTTGGCACACAATACTGTAGTAACGCGTTGAGTATTCCGTCCGTACGCCTTTGCTTCCGTTGGGACCACACGATATGTTGAACTCTTCATACAATAAAATATTTATAAGAATCAAACGGGGTTTCCATGGAAACCATATTTAATTCAGCGAAAATAGTTAAGTATTAAAATTACACGTGAATGCACACATTGAAAGGCGAAATCAAAATATGCAGCAAACTTCGTTTCCGCTAAGAAAATTGATTTGAGTTTTCCTCTTAAAATTTTCCGCTCACTGGCGTCCTTAAGGGCAGCAAAGCGTGGCTAACAAAATCATAGAAGCTCTCATCTACATCCTATTCGAGTGGTGGAACCCTTATCCCTATTTGAATTTAACGGAAGGTCTATTTTTGAAGAGCACAATTAATAATGGTCTGCGAGGCAAGCAGGGTCTATTCAAAGTTACATAGTCTATGAATCACATTGATTATAAACGACACGGAAAGTTTTTCCATTTGTGTTCCACAGGGGAGGTAGAAAATACGGCACGTGACTGAGAAAGTTATTAGCTTGCCAAACGCGACCGCGTTGTCGTCAGGAAAATATAAAGTTAAATAGTTAGTTTAAAAACGGTTGATACATTGTTTATCGTCGACTTACAAGATTGCGATCCACAATAGTAAATATTGTATTTAAGCCTTTAAATAATGATGTCTAGTTTTTATTGACTTTAAGCACGATTGACTATAAATACTTGGCTCGGTTTAAGGTGCTAACAGACCTAATATATTTTTAATGAACTTAAGAATTTGAGTCTTAGAAGTCGTAGAATCGATTAACCCATAGGCATAGTCAGTAGTCGGTGTGTAGATACGTATGTACAACAAAGTTTAGCGAATTTAAAACAGGCTTTGGTATAGGATATATGGATATTGGCTTCTTAGTTTTTTTAGTATTGCAAAATTAAAAATTAGGCGTAGGTATAAGTGCACTATATCTACATACATAAATATCTAAGTTTTCACAAATAGAACCCAAAACTAATTATTCATGAGCTGTTTAAAGCTCTTATTGCAGTACAAAATGACCGGTAGTGGCGCTGCAATCGCTTTTCGTCCACTAATCGGTTATCACCTCATGTTATCCACGATACATTTATCATTATACCAACACGAACAAACGCGTTTATCTGCAATCACAAAACGGGTAACTAATCGTTGCTTTCAACCTGTCCCCGAATCCCCAAACGCTTCACTCAAATCCAATTACACGTACATTTGATAACATCTCGTAACATTGACCCGGGTGCCGTGCAAAACGTTCTGATTGACAAATTTTTACGACACAATAATATATGGCCACTTTGGGCACTTATAAACGACCAGTATACCTTTACTTTAGGGCAATTTCAAACTTATAACCTTCCCAATAAAGTAGTTATTTGCTGTTGTGAATTGCGGTAGTTGGAGGTCAAGATATACTGGTCGATAAATACACGTGTTGTCAGTATCGCATCTTCATTCCGATGAGGATAATAGATAGATGTGCACTTAGATGACTACACAAACGTTCGTGTTAGTTTTTATGACATGTTTGTCGTTTATTTCGGTATAATAATAAAGTATGGGTGGAATAAAGACTTGACATATATTTGCTGTGGTATCTGGAGATTGTTTTGTTGTATTTTTGGTAGGTAATTGACTTTTCAACGTCGAAGACGAATTGAAAAATCTTTCTTTGGTTAGATATGCTTTCTTCTTAGAGGTGTTTCAGTAAAAAATTTCTTTTTTAATCAAATCCTCAAAGACAAAAAAAAAATAACATGAATGATAGGTTTCGTTACTAGCCAAAGTGCAAACTTTTTATTTTCCTCAGATGTGACCAATTTCGATATGATACTCGAGCCTATAATGCTTTACCGACAGTCCGGATTCTGAATCTATCAATACCTAAACATTTATCTGATAATAATTCAGAAATATATATTTAATGGTAAGTTAAGAAGTAACTCCATATTAATTTTCAAATTAATAGTAAGTGTGCAAAAAATCCTACGAAAAATGATCACGTCACATTTTTCAACGTCACCAGTTTCATTAACCACGCACTACAATAAGATCTTAATATTCAATATAACTGCTAAAGTACTATGTCTAACCTCGCCATCAAAAACGATGATTGTCATTTGTCAGGTGACATGTGCCATTGTGCCTGACTCATGACAATGACACAGAGTACCTACTGACACGTTCTGACGTTGGCCTGTCGATTGCCAATCAATCGTCGTGAGCTACCATCAGGTTAAGCACCTGAACTGACCTCGCTATTGATGGAAACATTATCATCGTGGCCTTGTAGGTGTAGACGAGCGACTTTAGGCTCAACTATATCGCGGGAAACTTTTAAACCCCTTCTAGTTACTCCATATGATATTATTAATATTTATTTCTTTGTTTGTTTTCATAAAGTATTATCCAGAACTACAGTACCGTTATAAATAGTTCTTGTAAAGCCTTCATTTTAACCCGATCTTCCCAAAGCTGTTTCTGAGGTAAGAAAGAAAACTACTCAAAAGAAATTTTCATAACATGTAGCTGAAGCTGCAATCAGGAAACCAAGTAGGTTTATAACGGAATTATCTATACATTTTTAAGTGATAAGTAAGCAATAGGCCCTATCCACGGACGTTATAAAAGTTTTTTGGGGAGGGAAAGGGGGAGGGGAAAGATTGGGTCTTCGGTGATCTCAATCACATGGCGAAACTACTCTGTGGTTATTTCACGCCGGTTTTCAGTGAGACCGTGGTATACCTCGGGCCGAGCCGACCCATTACTGCCGAAGCTTGGCTCTCCCACACTTAATATTACCTAAATTGTAATTGAATTAAATGATCTTTTTAATAATTTTGAATTTTTGACCGCATTGGACAAGAGTTTCCCGTCTAGATAATCCTTTATATCATCCAAACCTATCTGTGGCTAATATGTTTGAGACTGGGACGATATGTTGGGCAAAGATTACATTGTTGGGGTGAAATGACGTAATGAAATTTGATATTACAGCGTTTTTCTTAGTTTAGTATTTGTAATCTATTGATTGACCTTTTCTTCTATTAAGTAGTTGGAATTATAGATTTAGTTAATATATTTTGTAAGCATTATTTATTTATTAGCAGGTTTATTTTAACTTATTTCATGTTAAAAGATACTTTCGAAAAAAAATGTTTATAAAAAATATCCGGTCCTACCGACCAAGAGGAATTTAGTTTAGTTTGCGGATCACACAAAGTATTGTTTCGTGCGGGAATCGAACCGGCGACACGTTGCACGATAGCTAATTGTCCAGTCAAGTACCAACCATGCATTGAAGTTAAAGAAAATCACACTCGAGCTATACCACTCAAAAATTTTGCTATGTATACTAATATTATAAAGAGGTAAAATTTGTAAGTTTGTATGTAGGGGGTAAGTTTGTAAGTAAGTTTGTATCTTTTTAACCACTGGTCGGACTGCCAAAATTGCTACAATGTTCCTGAGTGCTATAGGCTGTAAAGCATCACGCTACGATCAAATGGAGCTGAGCAGCGGGTGACACCGCACGAGAGTAGCTAGTACTTTCATAAAACTCAGACTACAATGATAAACATAATCAACTAAAATAACTATAGCAAAATAAATCGTCTGTAACCATTTAATTAAAAGCCGGTCTAAACAACCCATCGTAAATTAACTGTCCCCTACTAACCCTCCAATGTTAACGGTGACTACTTAACACTAATCTGACTGACGATTAATTATACCGCTATCGGTGTTTCATCAAGCAAATTAGTATGTCAGTACGCGTGTCACTGGTTCAAAAGTCGTGACAAGGTTTTTTTTGTGGGGCATAACATTGATCACATTTGTTTGTTATTGTATTAAACTAGCCACCCGGCTTCGCGTGCAATACTGATACTAGGTACTCCACAATTTAATGGCTGTTAAAATATTTCTCATAAACAAAAAATCGCCAAAAAATATGCTGCAAAATAGTTTGAAGGTTTAAGCATACGTGGGAATATAGGTACAGAGAAAACGACTTTGTTTTTTATTTTGTAGTGATGTAGTCAGGTGAACATGATTTTCATTGCATTTCCCGATGTTTCTTTGGGGTTGTTTTTGCATCATTGGCTTTTCAGAGTGTAATCCAGCACTGTTTTTTGGTAAGGCAGCTATAATCCCTTCTGATTCACTGATGATAAGCATTCGTAACCAATGAGCCAATGAACACCTGCAACACCAGAGGAGTTGCGAGAGTGACGCCGGTTTTTAGGTTTTAGGGGATTCTTGATTCGAAAAATGGAGATGGGAGTGTTTTTGTGCTATTTAAGTAACCCAAGAGATACAATAACTCATACCAAAGAGGGCTTGGAAGTAGGACTTAGAAGTCCTTGTATGATAGGACGGCAAACAAGCCGACGGATAACCTGATGGTAAGCAATCGAAACCGTCCATGGACACCCCGAACATTTACGAGTGCGTTTAAGTGCAATTGGGGAAGGTAAGAAGGATTAGGCTTTGGAATTCAAAAATCAAATTGGAATGGAATTCAAAAACAAGCAATCTGTAGGTAAGTGATGTGTCTAGAAAGTCTTAAAGAACCGTTTTGGTAACAGAAAAGTCTCGATTTTATACTTCTATTCTGAACAAAGGA